AAGGCAGCCTGTCTGGGCCAGGTGCACTGGGCTTGCCCTTGCGCAGGGCGGTTTTGAGGTCATCGATCGATGGCGGCCTGAGTTCAGGAGCAGGATAGACAGGAAGATGATCACAAAGATACCCACGAAGAACATCGCTAGGGAGAGACTCCTTCGCTCTGAACACCTCCGCCCAGTGGCGTTGAAGCGCAGACGCCATGTCCACCGCTCCGCGGGCAGTCGCACCATCCGAAGCACCCGTATGCCCAGCAGAAATACCAGCCCCAGGTTGGACATGCAACTCCTCACACGCATCAGAGTCCGACAAGAATCCACTCGCCAGCGAACGCGAAGAAGAAGCAGAGACCGATAGCGAATACGACGTAGTAGAAGAGCGGCCAGAAGAGTCAACAGCGGCCGCTGAAACCGTAGGCTCGCGAGGCGCGGCCCCAGGGGAGGGCTCGACATTGAGGTCGCCACTGCCCGCAGGCGTGGTCCGACCACCAAGCGAGTCCGATACAGCGGCTTGTAGACTCCCCCCGCGCATCCCTACAGCGGTCGCTGAAACCGTGGACTCACGAGGCGCGGGGCGACCGCCATTAAGGTCGCTCCTGCCAGTGGCAGCAGTCCGACCACCAAGTGAGTCCGATACAGCGGCTTGAAGGGGCGCCTCATATATGTGAGACGCAGACGTCGCAGTGAAAGAAGGCAAGGATCCCAACCGCGTCGGGACATGCTCCCCCGATGACTGCTGATTAGTGAGTCGTGTCACCCGCTCATGGAGGCCCCCATGCGGAGGACAGTGAATGTCTGCAACTGCAGGAGGCATCGCGGAATGGCCAGCCGAGTTGTGCCTGATACCGTTCAGGATAAGCTGGCGGCGCGATTCACTCCATAAGCGGGCCCTCCTCGCTGACGTCCTCTGTATCTTCCGCCACTGTTCCCGAGACAGTTCAGCAGGCTCGCGACGTTGAGAATCGCCACGAAACGCTTGGGCAGCCGCGTGGCGTTGGAGCCGTTCATGCCACTCAGCGTTCGTCCGAATGACCGTCTCAGCGAACTCAGAGGAATTCAAAAGAGAGACTGCCCCATTGTTCACACGCAGGGACCGCTGGCCGTACTCAGTATTATGTCGAAGCAACGATGCCAGATGAGCATCCTGCTGCCATATGGCCCGAGCAATACTACGAAGTGTGATCCTCCTCGAGTCTTCAGCCCCATCACGCGAAGTGTCCAGAGGCAGCTGTTGGAGCATGTTGCGTACACGTGCCGCTGCTCTGATCATGAAGTCTTTGGTGACAGACCAACGCTCAGCCACAGAGCAGCCAGTCCAGCCGGTGTGTGCCAGGTATTTGTTCAGCTCCACCTTGTACTCGGGCACACGACAGACATAATCGGGAATCGAGCGCTCCGTGGGCGGTTTCTTCCCTCTAGGTCGAAGTTGGAGAAGTAGCAGGGCATGATCACTGAGATGCCAGTCAGACAGACGTGCTGCTTCCTGCTGAACCGATAGCGTGACCTCCGCTTCAAGAATGAAAGGCGGCGCTAACGAGATACAGGACCTATCAATGGTCGAACATGTCTGGGTGTGCTTGCAGAAGTGGGTCGGCACGCTAGATACCACCTCCACCATGCGAAAATCAAGCAGCGCACGCCAGAATGGTTGGTGCTGTTGTCCGCGAACTTCCACATCACGCCGAGCCGCAGGCCGCAGAAGGGAGTCTGGGGCAACATCCGCCACGTTGAAGTCGCCCATGGCAATGAAGCAACGACGCCGCTCATCCTGTTGGGCCCACACAGCCGCGCGCCGCCACAGGGTTCGCACCGCTTGGCGCGCATGGGCGTCCAAATCAAAGTTATGTACATTCAAAATGTGGACCGCTTGACCAGCGCCTCGGACTTGTAGAGAGAGGATGCGTCCAGGAACCACACATCGAGGCAGAAAGGACGGGATAACATCAGAGGGGGGCTTCACGAGATCCGCCTCCTTGTACCATGGAATCAAAATCGCAACACCTCCTTTCCCAGGCGACGAAGCTGCACTGAAAAAAGTCCGGTACTCATAAGGAAACTGCCTCAACAAAAAGCTCAAATCATATTCAGATCCATGCACTTCTTGAAGTAGAATGACCGCTCTCATGCGAAGAAAGGGTTCGAGCCTCTTGAGCTTCGAGCGACATAGCGCTCTCCGGCGCCCCTTGGAGCTGAGTCCGCACAGGCCTCTGGCATTCCATGAGGCGACCCTGATCTCTTGGTGAGATCCCTTCTCAAGAGTTTCAATCCGCCACGGCTGAGCCCACTGGTCAGGACCAAGACCAGGAACTGGTATCCACCGTCTCGACGGCACGATTGAAGGCGGCCGTGATGCCCGCCACGTCCACTTGGTGCTGGGCGACCGCCGCTTGATTCCATGCCAGCCACCTCTGACCACCACCTCGACCAGCGGCTGACCCTCAATGTGCACCAAGCCTCTTGCTCTGGTAGCCCACCAACGTTTGTTGGGCATCTTCTCCTGAGCGATAGCGGCCAATCGTTTGGACTGCTGCTCGCGTCTGATCTGCTTAGGAGCTTTGTCGAGGCCAACGTACAAAGGACCAGTAGCCCCAGAAAGCTGCCTAGCCGAGAACCTCCTCCATTCTCCCGAGGGGAAGCGGAGCGCCTTGGCCAAGGTGATGGCCTTCGAGATACCTGTTGCGCCTCCTTTGACCTCCAAGACGAATCGTCTGCTGGGTCCCCGTCCGTGCAGCACTGCATCCTCCGCATCAAGCTTGGCGTCGTTGATCTAAGATGCGATGGCTCCGCGCACTTCATCGGGGGCAACATCATCGGGAGCGTTGATCGTGAAGATCGTGGGGTAGGGGTCTCTATCGAAGTCCGCGAGACGGGCGATGTCCACCGCTGAGTGTTCTTCCTCCGATAATGCCAAGCGATTATTGATCCGATTGATGTCTGCGCGCATCTCTTTCTGGGCGCCCTTCATGGCGAGCTGCTTCCGCTGAAGGTCACCGATGGCCAGGTCGTGTCCATCAACCCGCTGCATCGTCGGGGCGAAATGGGCCTGGAGCTGCGAGATGATCGTGCCCTGGGCGTGCTGCAACGTGGTGGCAACAGAATTCTGGACTTGCGCGGTGATGTTCGCCGCGTGCGCCTGCAGCTGAGAAGCGACCACCTGCGAAACATAAGTGGCCCAGTCAGGACCGCCCTCGGCTCCCTCACCATGTCCAGCGGGCACCGTAGGAGTGATGCCGTCTCGCGGCGTCGCGGTGCCCTCCACCTGTGCATGAGGCGAAGCAGGAGGAGTGATAATCGCATCAGCAGCAGCCCTAGCCCAGGGATCATGCGGATCAGCACGCTGCTGCGAAGGCGGGAATGTGGGAACCTGCGAAAGCCGTACGCCATCACGTTCCATCTCGAGGACCGCCTCCGCCAATCTCTGGTTCGCAGATGGCATGCGGGGTGGCCGAGCGTCTTCAGGGCCTTCATGATCCTGGCGCTGTCGGGGCCAATCAGAGGCACTGCGTGGTGGGCGTCGGCGTCGGTCACCTCGTTCTGAGCGCTCACGACTGGGCTTGTCAGGGCCAGAGGAACCAGCAGACACAGAAGAAGCAGACTCATCATGATCACCCTCACGGCGCCTCCGACGACGTTCCTTCTCCCTCTTCGACCGCCTCGCCGATCCGCCCATGGCACACAAAAGAGAATATGACCGAAACCGCGTGTCGGTGGGAGGAAAGTGAATGAGGGCGCCCAACTCCCTCCGTGAAGGCGTAGAGAAACACCGTGGTCTGGCCGCGGACCAGCGGTATCCATGCGGCCGCGAGGCGACATGGGTACCTTGAGCCAAAATGGCTACGGAGGAGGAGGAGGAGGAGGAGGAGGAGGAGATGGAGGAGGAGGAGGAGGAGAGGAGGGGTGGAGGATGGATGGAGAAGGGAGCAAAGATCGCGAACAGACGATATGTGCATACATATATACATAATACATGTTTTGGAGGGGGGGCTGGTTCATCTGGTGTCTGGCGCTGGCTCCTCGACGTGAAGCGGCGTGCAGTCAGGCAGCGCCTTCCTTTTTCCCCCTCCCTTCCTCGCCCCTGTGCGCGCGCTGGCAGGAGGGAGGAACAAGGGTGCGCGAGAAGGACGCGAGGGCCTTGGAAGCCCATTTCGAAGCTTTTGCGAGCGGGGTGCGGCCGATGAAAGTGGCCAAGGATGGGCCGAGGAGGCAAGGATGCAAGGGTACCCTCGGGAAGGTTGCCCATCCTTACTTTGCGGGTTGACTGTAGCTACTTTCGACTTCGGGCCAGTCCGAAGAGGCGACGTGGTCGCCGGAAGCTCACCCAGAGCGCCTGCAAAATGGAGCTACCCCATTCACAGGCCTGAGATCGTCATGTGCTGCCTTGTCGGGAGGACGACTGAGGAGAAAGCAGTGGGCCAGAAGAGGCGGCCCGCACTCTTTCTCGTCGTCATCGTCCTCCCTCCTCCTCCTCCTCCTCCTCCCTCCTCCTCCTCCTCCTCCTCCCCTCCCTCCTCCTCCCCTTCCTCCATCCTCCTCCATCCTCCTCCCATCCTCCTCCATCCTCCTCCATCCTCCTCCTCCTCCTCCTCCCTCCTCTCTCCCTCCTCCTCCTCCCTGCACCTCTACCTTACTCCACCTCCCTCCTCTGGCCTCCTCCCTCCTCTCCTCCTCCTCTCTCCTCCTCCTTCCTTCCTCCTCTTCCCTGCTTCTCTCTCCTCCTGCTCCTCCTGCACCTCCACCTTCTCCACCACCTCCTCCCTCCTCCTTCCTCCTCCAATTCCCCTCCTCCCTCCTCCTCCCCTCCTCCTCTCTCCTCCTCCTCCTCCTCCTCCTGCTCCTCCTCCTCTTCCTTCCTCCTCCTCCTCCTCCTCCTCCTCCTCCTCCTCCTCCTCCTCCTCCTCCTCCTCAGTGCACCTCTCTCCCTCCTGCTGCGCAGCCCGTCTCGGCTCGGCGCATCTTCCCCGCGGGTTCATCCTGCCCTTTCCGCCCCGGGCGCGTGGCCGCGTGGGCCTCCGACATGTACTGGTAGTTCGCCTTGAACTGCACCCAGGCCACCGGCTCATCCTCGCCGCGCGTTGTGCGCAGCGGCCGTTTCCCCCTGTGTCCTCGTCCTCTTCCTCCTCATTCTACGTTCGTCTTGTCTCCTCTCTGCGCTGCAGCGCCGCCGCCTTGCGCGCGCCCGCGAAGGCGGCCGGGCGCGGCCATCAGAGGTCTGGTTTCATTCGGCCTGGGTCAGGGGCTGCGGCTCGCAGGCCTGAGGAGGTTTAGTCAGCGTGCCATAGCTGGGACGGGGCATCGCACCAACAGGGGGGAGGAGCCCTCGCTCTGCCCCCGCTGGCCCCATCCAGGGCGGAACAGATCTTTCGAAGGAGAAGGGCTATGGCATGGGGGCAGGGGAGAGGGGCGGGGAGAGGAGACGGTAAGCAAGGGCGGGATGCATTGCGGGCCGGGAAAAGCCTGAACCCAAAGAGCGCTTGCCACCTTGCTACAACCGACTACACGCAAGAGAGACCCTGGGTAAGAGTGATCTGTGGTGAGCGGCGTTTTAGGGGCCGGGGGGACCAAACACAAGCGCGCAAGACGTCACTATCGCATCGCGCCCGGCGATCGGGGGACGCCATGGGCCCGCACTAAAGGTCACTCTGGCGAAAAGTCGCCCTTACGTCTTGTCGATGCAAGTTGTGTCCCCTTGCTTCCGTCGGCCTTCCGTCGGCCTCCGCTGGCGCATGCGGCCTGGGTTTACTTCCGCCGCCCTCCGCCGGCACTCCGCCGCCTTCCGCCGAGGAAGAGGTGCTAACCCCGTCGATCCCTCGAAGATGAGGCCCTCTTCTGGAGCACCCCACGCGAGCGCAGGGAAGACAAGGGCGAAGAAGCCAATGAAGGAGATGCGGTCGACCATGTGCTCGCGCGTTTCCTGGGAGCTTCGAATTCGCCTGTCCTTGCACGTATTGCCGTCGCGCACCTGTGCCAAACACTTCTCGAAGCCAGCGACCCCAAGAGCAAGAGTGAGTCCACCCGGTGGGAGTTAAGGTAGAAGAAAAAAACGCCGTAAACATAAACGTTCGGTGCTCCGCGCGGATTTCTTGGATCTGCACTGGACCCCCCTCACTGGCGCGCCGGGTGCGCCAGGGGCGGCGCCGGAGGCGCTGCCGGGGGGGCCCAGCGCAGATCTAAGAAATCCGCGCGGAGCGCCAAAACCTTCTGTTTATAGCGATTTCTCTTTTTAAGATAAGGGAGGATGCCGACGAAGGCGCTCGAGGGAGGCGTTCCACACCGCGGATCTCTGAACACCTCGCGATGAGATATACTGCCATCACGCAAGCGGGTCCCTGAAGGAGACGTTTTCTGGACCATGGGGCCTTCCCCCAAGCCCAACCACTCGTCCTGGTTAGTTTTCGGACCGGGTTCTAGGAGGGCCCACGCAAGGCAAAACTCAGCGGAACATTCCTAAGCCCCTCCTCCTCCTCCTCCTCCTCCTCCTCCTCCTCCTCCTCCTCCTCCTCCTCCTCCTCCTCCTGCCTACTTTTCCTATTCCTCCTTCCTCCCTCCTTCCTCCTCTTCCGAATCCCTCCTTCCTCCTCCTGCGGTTTTCGATTATCTGGGCAACATGTGGGCCGATTTCTTTGCAAAGCTGGGGGCGAAGCAGCATGCCATTGCTAGCCTCGCCACCGCCACTTTAAAAGCGCAGTTGAAGGACGTGAAAAAGACGTGCCGATGTCTGGGTCAGGACGCTCAGTTTGTCGCGTCTCAGGCTGATTATTCTTCCATGTCTGCGAGGCCCAGCCGCAACCCCTTGGCGGTGCCTCAGCTCTCCTTTCTCACGACCTGGAGGTGGCGGAAAGCGGGGGGGTGAGGTGTACGTGGTGCCACTGCTCAGGCAAGGCTTCGCTCTCTTGAGCAAAGCTTGAGCAGCCTGGCAATAAGTGTGAGCCCACGCCGCTCCACTTGTATCTCCCAGCTGTAAGAGCCGAGAGTCACAATGGCCTCCTCCCGAGGGCGCGAAGTGATGCTGTCTTACACGCCTGTCGTGAGCCGGGGCTCACTTATGATGGCCTGCATGTGCAGGCTCTCGAAATTTTCGAATATCGGGGCCACTGCGTGCAGGCCACCGACAAGTATTTGCTGTGCCGCCGCTGCGGCGCCTGTGCATCCATTGAGGCCCCAGTGTGGAGGGGCCTCTTGGCGGACTGCCGAGGCCCTGCGGAGAGGGCCTCAATGCAGTCCTGGCGCATTGAAGCTGCTCTCGCGGGTCGCGAAGTCCGCTAGGTGGTGCAAGCCATGGTGGTAGGCAGCGGCTGGCGCAGTCGTGTTGCTTGCCACCACGGCCTGTGCCCTAATGGCCCTCGGCCTGTGCGGAGGGCTGCGGGACCGTGACGGCGGGAATCCCGCGCCCTCCACCTTTTCCCTTGCCCGCCAGCCCTCATTCGAACCGGATGTTGCGCCTCGGCCTGATCCCTGATCCCTCCTCCTTCTCCTCCTCCTCCTCCTCCTCCTCCTCCTCCTCCTCCTCTCCTCCTCCTCCTCCTCCTCCTCCTCCTCCTCCTGCTCCTCCTCCCTCCTCCTCCTCCTCTTCTCCTTTCCTCCTCCTCCTCCTCCTCCTCCTCCTCCTCCTCCTCCTCCTCCTCCTCCTCCTCCTCCTCCTCCTCCTCCTCCTCTCCCCTCCTCCTCCATCCTTTCGCCGCCCTCCCCCTCCCTCCTGCCCCCCCGCCCAGCGGCGGAGGAGGAGGAGGAGAGATGAGGAGGAGGAGGAGGAGGAAGAGGAGGAGAAGGAGGAGGAGAGATGAGGAGGAGGAGGAGGAGGAGGAGGAGGCCGAGAGGAGGCCGAGGAGGAGGAGGAGGAGGAGGAGGAGATGATGATGATGATGATGATGATGATGATGATGATGATGATGATGATGATGATGATGATGATGATGATGATGATGATGATGATGATGATGATGGATGATGATGATGATGATGATGATGATGAGATGATGATGATGATGATGATGATGATGATGATGATGATGATGATGATGATGATGATGATGATGATGATGATGATGATGATGATGATGATGATGATGATGATGATGATGATGATGATGATGATGATGATGATGGATGATGATGATGAGGATGATGATGATGATGATGATAGATGATGATGATTGATGATGATGATGATGATGATGATGATGATGATGAGGAGGAGGAGGAGGAGGAGGAGGAGGGGAGGAGAGGAGGAGGAGGAGGAGGAGGAGGAGGAGGAGGGAGGAGGGGGAGGAGGAGGAGGAGGAGGAGGAGGAGGAGGAGGAAGAGGACGAGGAGGAGGAGGAGGAGGACGAGGAGGAGGAGGAGGCAGTAGACATATTCGACGCTATACGGAATATTGTGGCACACTCGTCATCGATTTTCGTGTGGGGGTGCTGAGGTGCCCCTAGAGCTTCCGTGGGTACCTAGGGCCACCGGGGGGTAAGAAATGTCCGTGGGGCACCCGCTGGCAGGAAGATGTCCTATGTGCTACGCCTACTGCAAGCGCAAAGGGTACAGACGGAGAAAAAAGTTCGAAACGACATTCCTCACTTTTCGCATGGAAGCATTTGAGCGCGCATCATATCAACGGCAACTTCCATCAGTCACATGCAGCGCTGCACGCACGTCGAGCCGACGTGGGCCAGAAGGCTGACTAAAATTCTGCACCGCTTGGATCGCGCCTGGGCGGCGGCCCCGTCCGCGCTCGAACCGCCTTGAGACTGTCCGACTCCTAACTTAGTGCTATAAAGAACGAGTGTCGGATGAATCTCAAAATCTGCACGACATTGTATACATTCACACACACACACCAGACGCGCCCGATGGCGGTCTCAAGGCAGCCCCAAGGAGTCTCCAAGGGTCTCAAAGTGCCCTGAACCATCGGCGCCGAGCACATCCGCGAGTCTCACAGTGTCTCAAAGTGCTACGAAAGGGGAGAGAGTATCATTCTGACGTGAGCGCGCAAGCATGCGAGGACGCCAGCACGAGACACGCCACCAACCAACCATGCGGGAGTTGGAGCGCAGAGTGCATACTCCACCGCGTGTGCATGTGTGTCTGCGTGCGTGCGTGGTTTGTGGTGCGCGTGCGTGCGCGGCTGGTGGCATGTGCGTGCGCGTACATAAGGCGACGCGCTGCAATGCGACCACGTTCGATGCAACGCAAGGCCATGCAACGCAGTGGGGCCGAAACGCCCGCACGCATTGGACTAAATGTGGACATCGCGCTTTCGCGCAAGGCATTCAGTACCGCTGCAACCTCAATGGCAACGCCTCGAAGAAAGTGCCCCCCAGGCGAGCGCAAAGCCCATTTCCAAGCATGTCTTCTCGGACTGTAATTACCCGAAACCCACGTGGAAAGATGAGGCGGCAATCAGAGATAACTGGGGAACGCGGCAAGTCGTCCGCCACCGAAGCGCGAAGCAGAGGAGAGAGGAGGAGGAGGAGGAGGAGGAGGAGGAGGAGGAGGAGGAGGAGGAGGAGAAGGAGGTGGAGGAGGGAGGGAGGTGGAGGAGGGAGGAGGTGGAGGAGGTGGAGGTGGAGGTGGAGGTGGAGGTGGAGGTGAGGAGGAGGAGGAGGAGGAGGAGGAGGAGGAGGAGGAGGAGGAGAAGGGAGAGATGATGAGGAGGAAGGTAGAGGAGGAGGAGGAGGAGGAGGAGTAGGAGGAGGAGGAGGAGGAGGAGGAGGAGCAGGTAGAGGAGGAGGAGGAGGAGGAGGAGGAGGAGGAGGAGGGGAGGGGGGTGGAGGTGGAGGTGAAGGAGGAGGAGGAGGAGGAGGTGGAGGAGGATGAGGAGAAGACAAGAAGGGTTGTCTCTGCAGGCCCCTGCGGGGCTTATGGAGGTCCCCCATGTAACCGCCCAGGAGATCTCTGGAGACACCTGGAGGTCTCTCGAGGTCTCCATGGTACTCCAGATATCCCCAGAGGTTCCAGGAAGTTGCAAGGATCGCAAGATATCATGGCCTTCTCCACATAGGCAATGCACCACGAAAGGGAAGACGCTCCCTGTCGAGCCGCAAAATGCGTGAGGGGTGCACCGAGATCTGCAAAGCAGTGCATGAGATACCCTGCCGCCGAGGCCATCGGTGGAACCACAAAACGCATGAAGGTTGTGCCGACATGGGTGGGAGAACGCTGCGCGGCACCTCGCCATTGAGGCCTTCGGTGGAGCTCCATGTGGGGCCACGAAACGTGCGAGGTGTGTCCCGAATGGGGGGGGGACGTTCTCCGACACCTTGCCATTGAGGTCTTCGGTGGAGCCCCGTATGGAGCTACGAAACATGTGAAGAGTGCGCCGACATGGGCGGGGGGATGCTTTACGGCACCTTGCCACTGAGGCCTTCGGTGGCGCTCCCTGCTAGGGCAAAACGTGAGGGGAGCGCCTGAATAGGCGAGTGGACGCTATGCTTAGGTCGGGCATGTACTCCTACAGGCGGGTTCTGGAAGACAAATGAAATATATGTAAAACCATAAGCAAAACAGTCAAAACAGACCAAACCAAAACAAATAATCACCATACGATTTTCTTACTATTCTGAATTTTCCTCCTGTAGAGGGACATGCCAGACTTAATGCTCTGCGGCCACACCCTGGGGCTTCGGTGGAGATTCCAAGGGGGCCACGAAAGGAGCGGGCGCTATGCGGCCACAAACCCTGAGGGGGTCGCTCCTCAGGGGGCCACGAAGCGTGCGAGATGTGTACCGGAACGGGCGGGGGGGCTGTGCAGTGTACCGGCATGGGGGGCGGTTATGTACAATGTGTTATTGCGAGTGGGCGGCTCTTGTTTGCAACCTTCTGTTTTTATTCGAAAAGCCTCGGTGGAGCTCCCTCTGTGGGTCCACGAAGCGTGTGATGGGGTGTGCCGACGCGGGCACGCGGAAGCCAGGAAGAAGGAGGAGGGGGAGAAGGCCGGCCGTCAGCCGTTGCCTGCTCGGGGTGGGGCCCGCGGGGACCCACGGCGGGCGGCGGCAGCCAGGACCCCACCACACACCCCGCCGCGTCGGCGGCCCCTGGTCAGCAGCCCGTGTCTCGGGCGGCCTGGCCGGCGGCCAAGAGGCCAGAGAGCCCGCCCGGCAAGCTCGAGCACGGCAAGCTGAACGCCCTGGAGTCCGCCTGACGGCAAGCTCGAGTACGGCAAGCTGACGGGGGAGATCGGGCCCCTGATCGACACCAACAAGGTCGTCGAGGTGCTCATGGAGCAGAATCGGCTCCAGGAGACGACCCCGATCCAGCTCGAGGCGCTCAAGGGAAACAGGCCAGCTGCAGACCCAGCTGTTTGCTATGAGCCTGCAGCAGGCACCGAAGGTGGCCGAGACCATCCTGCAGATGAATATGTTCACCTACTACGACAAGCAATTCATCGGCAACCTGTGCGAGAAGGCCGGTCTGATACAATTCGCCCTGGGGCAATACCAGGAGTCCGCTGACGTGAAGCGCACCCTCCTGCACGCGCACCAGATGACGCTCGAGTTCCCCGGGCGTCTCTTCGGCACGATGCCCCCCGAGACGGGTTGGAATGCATGTGCGAGCTCATGCGGCACAACCGGCAGAACTTGCAGGTCGTTGTGCTGGTCGCCATCAAGTACCACGAGCAGATGGGCGCCTTCAAGATCGTGGAGACGTTCGAGAGCTTCTGCTCCCACGATGGTGTCTTCTACTTCCAGGGCGCCATCTTCTTGGCGAGCACGGACTTTGCAGTGCACTTCAGGTACATTCAGGAGGAGCGACGCCACGACGGGGAGCAGTACCTGACTCGTCTCGGCGTGAGTGACGCAGGAAGGGCGTGAGTGACGGCCCGTGCCCCCTAGCAACTTTTTGTTTCTTCGATGCTGCCTGCCCTCGCTGCTCCCGTGTTGGCCCCTGGTCGTGGGCACGGAGGATGTGGGACAGTGGAGGAGTGGAGGTAGAGGAGGGACGAGACTGTAGGGAGAGTGTCGCTGCAGGCGAATTGGGAGACCGTGACTCTAGCTGAGCTTGTGTCCAGCACCGTGGCCAGCCACTCACCGTCGACCGCTCGAGGCGGTTGCACTGCTTCGCCCTTCCGGATGCAGGAGGCTCTCGACACTCCATTTTTGGTCCAGCCTTCCGTGCAGTGCCGCAGCTAGGTGGCCGGCGGGCGCCGCAGCTAGGTGGTCGGAGTCGGCCACTCATGGAGGAAGCGGAGGAGGTGGTGTTGGAGGTAGCAGAAGGAGACTTTCCAAGGAGTGCTGTCCAGCGGTTGCTCTGCTTGGCCTGCTCTAATCAGCGTGCATTATGCAGTTGTGGTGGTAGGGAGGTTTGGGTGGCGTTTGGGGACCAGGCCGCCGAAGGGGGCAGGCTGGAGGCGCTCCCTCCCAGGGCAGAAAGGCCCCATGAGGTCACTGCAGCGGCCTGTGGCTTTCCGTGCCGTCAGAGGTGCTCTGGGTGGGATATTAATCGAAGGGTGGGCGACTAACCTTCCGACGGAGCTTGCCCATCCCCCCCCTCCCCTCCTCCTCCACCTACCCTCCTCCTCCTCCTCCTCCTCCACCTCCTCCACCTCCTCCTCCTCCTCCACCTCCCTCCTCCTCCTCCGCCCCTCCTTTTCCTCCTCCTACTCCTCCTCCTCCTCCTCCAACGACCCCCCCTCCACCCGTTCCGACAGCACGTGCCCAACACCCCCCCGCGGATCCAAGGGGGGGACGTTTACTGCCCCATCCAGAGCACGCAGGAGAGTACGCAGCGCCCTCCCGAGGCGCAGCAACTCGTTGCAGCGCAAAGCCCACTCAACAACCTGAGCTCAGCCGACAACCAAGAAAAGCGGATTCGTGAAAAGGGCGAAGGGATGCCCAACAGCGAGAGCCAGGACATCAACGTGCGCGCAACCTGTCAAGCTCTCCCTGGGAACTGGGGAACATGAAACCGAGGAGCGAAGCAAACGACGAAACGACACCGGCAACCGAGGAGCAACCTGACGGCACGGCGAAGCACGAAGCGGAACATCCACAAATCGACAACGGCAACCGAGTGGCATGATAATTTTCAACGACGCACCGCACGTAGTACCCGCCGTGGGCGCTGCACCTCCCCCCCGTGTCCTTGCCCCTCCCAGTGGCTCGAATGATCTATTGTTGCTCACAGTACGTGGAAAGTTCAGACACGTCGGACCGCTGGTCAGCGCTCACCTTACCGACACGGAACGACAAATAGGAGTACACCACACCATCGTCGCAGCAGCAATGCCCGAGCGTGTACTTGACCAAAAACTTCACTCCGTTGGTTGCGTAACCGATGACGTGGTTGTCCACTGCGGCAAAGACGAAGGTGCCCACGGCCATAGGCGAAGATGGCTGCCCTCGGTGATCGCAACATTATTCTGGTTTTCGTACTGGGTGGTTGCAGCGTTGCTGGATACTGAGGCGGCACTGGCAAACGGTGCATGGAAGCCATCGCGAATGGTCGGGCTGGGAATTGCGACCCTGATCGGATAGGGGGCGGCCCACATGCCCTTGATCCGATATGGCTTACCTATACGACCACCCTTCGGGTGATAAGGAGGTTCGGGGGGGAGGAACCAACGTCTCACTAGATCGGTCTCACTATCGATCTCACTATCGATCTCACTATCGGTCTCGCTCGCTCGATCTCACTCGATCGATCTCACAATCGATCTCTCTCGACCAATTTCATTCGATCGATCTCACAATCGATCTGAATATCGATCTCACAATCGATTTCACTGTCGATCTCACTATCGATCTCACAATCTATCTCACATTCGATCTCACGATCGATCTCACGATCGATACCACAATCGATCTCACAATCAACGTCATCACCATCATCGACATCATCGTCATCAACGTCATTCACATCATCGTCATCATCAACCTCATCATCGGGGCACCATCATCATCATCACCTCATCACCATCATCATCAACATCATCATCACCATCATCATCATCGGGAAACCATCATCGTCACCATCATCATCATCAACCTCATCATCATCATCGGGACACCTTCATCATCGGAATATCACCATCACCATCATCATCAGCATCATCATCTTCATCATCATGATCATCAGCCACATCCTCATAATCAACATCATCATCAACATCATCATAATCATCGGGACACCATCATCATCACCATCACCATCATCATCATCGTCATCATCGTCAACATCATCATCATCATCACCATCATCATCATCGAGACACCATCATCGTCACCATCATCATCATCATCATCAACAACATCATCATCATCATCATCATCATCATCATCATCAACGGGACACCATCATCATCGGAACATCACCATCATCATCATCATCATCATCTTCATCATCATGATCATCAGCAACATCCTCATAATCAACATCATCAACAACATCATCATCATCATCATCATCATCATCATCATCGGGACACCATCATCATCACCACCATCACCATCACCATCACCATCACCATCACCATCACCATCATCATCATCATCATCATCATCATCATCATCATCATCATCATCGTCAACATCATCAACATCATCAACATCATCATTAGCATCATCAACATCATCATCACCATCACCATCACCATCACCATCACCATCACCATCATGATCATGATCATGATCATGATCATTCTCATCATCATCATCATCATCATCATCATCATCATCATCATCATCATCATCATCATCATCGTCATCGGGACACTGACGGGGCACCGGCGGGACACCGCGCGCCTCCGGCCCCCGGTCAGGAATCATTGGGTCCGGCCGCGCCTCAGCCGCGACACCGGCGGGACACCGCGCGCCACTGGCCCCAGGTCAGGAATCATGTGGTCTGGCGGCGCCTCAGCCGGAGGCGGGACACCGGCGGGACACCGCGCGCCACCGGCCCGCGGTCAGGAATCATTTGGTCCGGCCGCGCCTCAGCTACAGGAGACATTCTTCTCGCCCGCCCACGCAGCTTCGCCTCGCCCGCACGCACGGCACGCACGAACACGACACCGAAATCCATTTCCCGGTAGGGGGGCTCTCCGTGCCACTTCGATCTCACCCCCTCACCTCCGATATTTGACCTCCGCCGGCTTCCGCCGGCGGAAACGCCCTCGTTTTACTTCCGTTGTTTTCCGCTGGCCTTCCACCGACGACGATCTGTCAACTCCTTCGGCCCTCGAAGGCAGGGCCCTTTCTAGAGCACCCAATGTGAAAGCAAGGCCCCGGGCTCCTTCTGAACAGTGGAGGAGGAGAAGGAGCAGGAGGAGGAGGAGGAGAAGGAGAAGGAGGATGATGAAAAAGAGCAGGAGGAAGAGGAGGAGCAGGAGGAACTGCAGGATATCGGCTGGACATCAGCATGAACATTTCGCAATCGTACTATGATACTTGCTATTGCTATACACACACACACACTCACGCCTCACGCGTGCACATGCGCATTACCTCTAGCGATCGCTTTGTTGGCACCCCGCCAGTGCAGAACCTCCTGTGCTTTCTTGGGCATACCCTTTGAGTGCGGCCACAAGCCCCGCGCAATTCGTTTAATATTCTGCTCACCTTTAGCCGTGTTATGGCCACACTCTCCAACTAGAGTCCACACGAGGAACAAAAGGCACATATCGATTTGGTCTACATACAGAAGCGTATGCGACGGGCGCAGTGCCTTCCACCCACACTGAGACCCGACGACGACGACGACCCCCCCGCCTCCTGACGATGCACGCACGCCGCGCCCGCTTGTGCAAAGTGCGTCGGCCTGCGCTCGGACTTCGCGAACCACTCCAGGTCCGCGTGCAGGCCAGAACGCTGACATATCCTGCAATGCCACCTCGCCCCCAGAAGCTCAAGATGGTGGTGCGACGAAGCCGTTAGGACCGCCAGCTTGCAAATCCTAGGGCATCTAGGCGCGGCCTCCGACCTGATGGGATCGCGAGCCACGCGCTCCAAATTAGCACGGATCGCTCTGCGCCTCACGAGGCGCGCCACCGCGTCGACCCATCCGACCTTAAGTTTAGCAGTGGCCTTACACGTAACCTCGGCGGCAACTTAGCCCGCAAAAGCGTCGCCGCACACGTTTCCTGCAATCTGCGAGAGCTGGCACAGGGTTTCACCGCCTGTGAACTCATCAGCCCGGTGACTGTGCAAACGCACAACTTGAATTCTAGACTCACTCTTCTCATTCACTGCTGCCCGAATGGCCAGCCACAGATCAGCGTTCTTGCCTCGCGGCGACTGGCTCTGGCCCCCTCGGCGCTATCCCGTCACCAACGGCACGTTGTCGGCGTGGTAGCGCAGGTCGCCGCGCGTGGTCCTCAGCGCCAGGAGGAAGGCCCACAGCTCAGCCCTCGGGACCGTCTGCTTGGGCCCAGGCATGCCTGCCACGATGCCCGCCACGACCATCGGTGGGTCATCCGCATTCTCGGTGAAGGAGCTCATGATGGCCACGCCGACTCCGCAGTGTCGAAGCCTGGGGTCGCCACTGCGATCGCCTCCCGAGCCGTCCCCAAAGGCGTCGTGGAAGCCGTCGGGCCCGCGCAGGCGCTCGACCACCTCCCAGCAGCCCGTCCGGCGCACACAGTCAGAGGCGCCCTCGGGGTACGCGCGCCGCGCCCAGCTGGCTGGCGGCAGGCCCCGCAGCCACAAGCACGGCACCACCTCGTGACCCTCGATCGCCTTGTCGAGGAGGCCCTGCGCGGCGGTGTAGTCCTCGCGCCCCTAGTTGCACGGGCAGGTCCAGACCCTGTGCGGGAGGGTCTCGCGCTGCCCGCATCGCGGGCGCAGGTCCGCGCTAGCAAGGCCTCGCTCCCGCTGCCGAACCGAGCCCTGCTCCAGGAGGCGCCCGTCATGATCTGCAGCTGCAGCGCCCAGGGGCTGTGGCCCCCGTCGCGCTGCGCGCGGTCCAGCTGCCTCTTAGCCTGATGAAGGTCGGGGCCTCCTTCGATCCCCTTGCCCGCGTCGTGCTGTTCCGCGCTGCGCCGCCATGTGCGCTAGATGCTGGCCATCACCTCCTCCAGCAGCTCGGCGTTCTTCGAATTCGCTGGGTCCGCCGCTCATCCCCCGCAGCTCGTCGACGTCCGACTGCCACTCGATAGCCGTGGGGGCCTCCCATCCTGCCGCGAGCAGCGTGCAGGTGACCGCCGAGATGGCCCCCTTCACCTTAGCCCACCTGCGCTCTGGCGGAGGGCTCAGGAGCTCCTTGTAAATGTTGGCCCAAGCTTTCTTGACCCGCGCATGGTGTTCGGAGTGCCGCCTCCAGAACTGCCGCCATTCTGACGCCAACTGCCGCGGCAGCGCCAACCCTGGGTCGTCGTCGCCCTTCAGCAGCGCCAAGGCGGTGGCCAGGCACCTGCCGAAACGCTTGCCCGCAATGGCACGGCTGGCTTGCCTGCGAAGGCGCAGCATCAGGTACGGCGCCGTGCCCAACACCTGGTGCCCGTAGATCAGAGCAGGCTGGGCTCCCGCGCGGTGCAGATTCTGCGCGTACTTGCTCATGCTTGCCCGCCTGCGCAGACGGAAGGTGCCCCGGACACGCTTCGCTGCGTTCTCGGCTCGCTTCTTGGCCTGTGTCTGGCCCCTTCTCCGCTCTGCAGTGGTGGCGGCCCCCAAGTCCACGGCAGTCTCCACCGCGCGCGCTGGGATGCCAAACCGGGCAGCTTCCCCAGCCACCTGCTTGGCCGCACAGCTGTCGGAGGAGACGACGACGGACTTGCCTGACAGAACCAGCTTCGCACGCTTGCATTGCTCAGCGGAGATCTGGAGCGCTCCGCCCATGCCGTCGATGGCCACCTGCTTCTTCCCCCTCAGCGCGGAAAACGGTGTCGTCGACGCACGTGCTGAGGCCCACCTGCGGGGCGCCTGCACTGACCGCCTGCAGGGGCGGGCAAGGGAAGAGCTCGCCTGCCTTCACCCCCTTGGCTGCTGCCAGCCACGACGGACCGCTCCGCACTGAGGGGGGCCGCTCACCCAGCCGTGCCTGCGCAGGCGGCGGGGGGCCAAGTAGGCCTGGGCTTCCAAGGGGATGACCGTGGCGGGAAAGGCCTCCCTCTCCGCAACCTCGAGCAGCAAAAGGAGGCCGATGCGGTCGATGGCACAGAAGTTCATGGCCACCTCCCTGTCGTCCAGGATGGAGCGGCACAGGGCAGCCCTCAACGCGCTGCTGCCCCTGATGGCCGCATCCCAGTGCTGCTCCAGCGCATCGGACCAGGAGTCCGTGGCTGAGGCTCTCGACTTGGACTAGCACTTGATCAGCAGCGGCAGGATGCCGATCGTGCGATCACCTCCCCTCGACTTTGGCAGCAAGGCCCAGGTCGTGGTGAGCACCTGCCTCGGCTAGACGAGCTCGGCCTCGATCTGACGCAGCATGTCCGCAAGATCCTGGATGGCTTCGTCAGGGAGGCAAGAGACGTCGGAGCTGCGCAGTGCGTCCACACCCATGGCTTTTTTGAACGAGACGGCCGGCAGGGCCTGCCTGACGCTCTGGACCTCATGGGTGTCCAGCTCCTCCTCTCGCGCCCCCCTGCTAGCTGCCCTCGCAAGCCAGACCTGCTGCTTCAACCCGTCGAAAGTGGGCGAACTCCAGACTGCGTCCCAGCGATCCTCATGAAGCTTCATCTGATGACTGGGGTTGGCGACTGTGGCCCCTGGCAGCACCGTCCCGAAAGGTACTGGGCCAGGAGGAGCGGAAAGAGGAGGAGGAGGAGAAGAGGGAGCAGGAGGGCCAGTCGGGAGGAGCAGGAGGAGAGGGAGGAGGAGGGCCAGTCGAGAGTCTCGAGAGGAGCCGGAAGGGGGGGAAGGGCAGAGGCGAGGACGATGGCGCAAGAAAAAAGGCACCAAAGAGAGCGGGGCGGCCCCGCCAGCTGTCCTCCCTGCCCTCGAGGAGGGTCGACGGCGCCTCGCGTCGAGACGGGTCGTCGTCGTCGTCGTCGGTCGCTGCCGTCGGCGTCGCTGCCCGCCAGTCGTCAACCAGTCGTCGTCCAGGGTCTGTCCAGGGTCTGTCGACGCCGTCGTCGTCGGTCGCCATCGCTGTGAGTCATCGGTCGACGTCGTCGCCGTCGTCCACGTCGTTGTCGTATTATTCTTCCTCCTCCTCCTCCTCCTCCTCCTCCTCCTTCCTCCTCCTCTCTCCTCCTCTCCTCCTCCTCCTACTCCCCCCTCCTCCTCCTTTCCTTCCTTCCTTCCTTCCTTCCACACGGCTTCGCGAGGCGCGCCCGGTCGGCGCCCCGCGGACGGCCGGGCCGCCCGGCACAGCCGTCTCATTCCGCGGGCGGCCCCCAGGAGCCTGCCACGCGGTGACCCTCCCCACGGCCGAGGGCACGGAGGGTGACGCCCGACGCTACGCGGGAGGCGCCCGCCCTCCACCCCCCTGGGGAAGGGTCCCTCCGGCGGCCCCCCCAGCACGCAACTGGTGGAGTGTCGCGCGGGGGCAGCCCCCGGCAGCCCGTTGGTGGAGTCCTCCTCCTCCTCCTCCTCCTCCTCTCCTCCTCCTCCTCCTCTCCTCCTCCCATCATTCTTCCCCTCATCTCATCATCATTCATCATCATCTCATCATCTCACTATCTTTCATCATCATCATCATCATCACAACCACCATCATCATCATCATCATCATCATCATCATCATCATCATCATCATCATCATCATCATCATCATCATCATCATCATGATGCTACTTCCATTCCAGCACTCCCGCTTCACATCCCGTTTGACGCTCCGCAGATCCAGGGCAACTCCTCCTCAAACTGTGCGTTTGCTCGTCCACCCCCATGTTGCCTTTCTGAAGCGTCATCCCACACTACGGTCAGGCCAAGAACGCTTGCTTCGCGTGTCGCGCCACAGGTTCAGGCCCCACCACGCTGTGGCGCTACACGCTGAGCGCGCCCCGGTCGCCAAGCCTCAGCGTTCCGAGGTTTTCCCAGCCTCTCGTGCCGAAAACGCAGAGCGACACGCCATCGGTCTGCTGGGCACACCGTGTCGCGGGAATCGACGGCGCGATACGCCAAGCAGAAGTTCCTCACAGAAGGGCCCTGCGCCGCGGGGGTCCAACGCCGATCCAAGTTGCGCGGACCTCCGGGTGTTTCCGCCTCATCATGACCATCAGCATCATCAGCAACCATCGTCATTCATCTGCTGATCATCATCATCACCATCACCATCACAATCATCATCACAATCACCATCACCATCATCATCATCATCACCATCATCACCACCATCACCAGCATGGAAAATAGCATGATCACGATCATGATCATGGTCATCATCATCATCATCACCACCACCATCATCATCAACATCAGCATCATCATCATCATCATCATCATCGTCATCATCATCATCACCGCCACTGCCACCACCACTGCCACCACCACCAACATTATCATCATTATGATCATCATCGTCGTCATCATCGTCATCATCATCAGCATCGGGCAATACCTCGAGCTGCCGCTGGCCGCTCGTGGCGATCTAGGCCCCCCCGGACCACCCTCGGCGGGGCGCACCTGCTGCAAGTCACCCCGAGACTGGGAAACCGCCCGGAAACTTCGTTGGTATTATTTTTATTGGTAGTTATTGTTAGTATCATTGGTATTATTACTATGGTTGTTATAACTATCATGAATAATACCATTATGAGTGTTAGTAGTATTACTATTATTAGTGTCAGCAGTAGTAGTAGAAGTAGTAGTAGTAGTAGTAGCAGTAGTAGAAGTAGAAGTAGAAGTAGAAGTAGAAGTAGAAGTAGAAGTAGAAGTAGTAGTAGTAGTAGTAGTCGTCGTAGCAGTAGTAGTAGTAGTAGTAGTAGTAGTAGTGGTAGTACTAGTAGTAGTAGTAGTAGTAGTAGTAGTAGTAGTAGTAGTAGTAGTAGTAGTTGTGGTGGTAGTAGTAGTAGCAGTGACAGTGATAGTGATAGTAGTAGTAGTAGTAGTAGTAGTAGTAGTAGTAGCAGGAATAGTAGTAGTAGTAGTAGTTGTTGTTGTAGTAATACTAGTAGTAGTAGTAGTAGTAGTAGTAGTAGTAGTAGTAGTAGTAGTAGTAGTAGTAGTAGTAGTGGTGGTTGTATAGTAGGGGTGCAAAGATAGTCGTACGTCGTAGTCGATCGTGAGTAGCAGTGTAGTAGTAGTTAGTAGAAGATTAGTCGATATACAAGTAGAATAGTATTAGTGTGAGATAAAGTAAGTAGTAGTACAGTAAAGTCTAAGTAACTAGTAGTAGTAGTAGTCGTAGTAGTAGTAGTAGTAGAGGTAGTAGTAGTAGTAGTAGTAGTAGTAGTAGTAGTAGTCGTAGTCGTAGTCGTAGTCGAAGTCGTAGTAGTAGTGGTAGTAGTAGTAGTAGTAGTAGTACCAGTAGTAGTAGTTGTAGTTGTAATAGTAGTAGTAGTAGTAGTAGTAGTAGTAGTAGTAGTAGTAGTACTAGTACTAGTACTAGTACTAGTACTAGTAGTAATAGTAGTAGTAGT